TACAAGCCTTATCTACTGCCTTCTTTTAGTAGAGGGTGGGGTGTAATAGCCCTACAAGTGTTTTTCAGGACAAGTGGGAGGTATAAAGATGACTTAAATTACGGGTACTTACGACAGCAACGAGGCCAGAAAAGTTTGATGTGGCGACTTCATGCACAGGGATAAACCATAATGGGATCGTAATAAAGTTGAGGCTTTCTTTTTCGCACATGATGCTACTACAGTGTTACATACTCTGATTGCACCATGTTTTTTCGATAGCATTGTCCGGAGTAATCACGATACATGGGTATATTTAGTTAGTTCGACCTTTTGGTGGCTTCAAAAGGCAACACATACGTTAGAAACAATATCAAAACTATAACAGTCTATGACTAAATTAAAGGTTCTCCCGAAAGCCCAGATCTTTGTGGAGATTAGCGCATAGGGCACTTCTTATAGGAGATCGAATGCATGCGACAAGACCTAGTGATGGTCGGATTCCTTATTGCCAAATGGATATTGAAATCATAATGCACGCTGTTAGACACTACAACTTTGCGCAATAAATTCTGCGACTTGCTGGTACCCCAAGTTCAATTTACATCCTCTCTTTGTTCCTCCCCTTTATTATGGTTAGAATTGACAACTGCTCGACTCGGAATAGATGTTTTTGTAGGTTTTATAGTACTCTTATGGAATTTGTGGAATGGTTGGAACTCTATAATCCATGATGGGAAATTGCATCCTGCATGGGTGATCGTTGCAAATGCTCAGACTCTTCATAGCTAATTTATTGTTGCTCAAAGTCTTACAAGAACCTTTGGTCATCTCATGCTCCTGATCATTGGCGGTCCCCGACCGGTGAGGCGGTCAAGCTAAACCCAGATGGTGCTTATAATCCAATTAATAGATTAGAGGTTGTTGGTGTAGTTGCCCGAGACGCTCGGGGGAAGGTACTAGGTGGTATGGCAACCGCGTCAGCCGGTTGCTACGACTCCGGTCTCGCTGAGCATCATAGTTTCACTGCAGCGATCAATATCGCATTAGAAGAAGGATGGAAAAATATTATTATTGAACTTGATTACACGATGGTTGTGTCTAAGTTCAATAGTGGTGAGACTGATGATTCTTTACGTGACATGTAAATGTTTTACCCGTTTTAAAACGTGATCTTTCGAAATTTCGAATTTGCTGATGTTTTCATTTACTTTTTAACTGAACTATGGCTACATGATATGTGTCCTCTGATTACCTGTTTTCATTGGAAAATACAATCGTTCTTGATTTATGGATCATGAAATCTACTGGTTTCTGAAATGTGTTATCTAGTTTCCTGTTTACACTAGAAAATATAATCGCTCCTGATTTATGTATCATGGGATCTACTGGTTACTACTTGAACTATTTTATTGGGACATTATCTGGTAGGCTGAAGTATGGAGGTTCAGCTCTGATCAAGCTGGTGATTCCTTACGGACCTAAGGTGACCCTTGGGTAGGCTCCGAGGCCCCAATAAACTTTCTTGGATAGGCTCTCAGGCCCCAAAGCACTCCATGGGATAAATCATGGGACTGCATATGGTGTACGGGTGGAGGGCAGTTATGTGGTTTATTTCATTGTCCCAATAAACTTTCTTGGATAGGCTCTCAGGCCCCAAAGCACTCCATGGGATAAATCATGGGACTGCATATGGTGTACGGGTGGAGGGCAGTTATGTGGTTTATTTCATTGTCACTCTTACGAGATTTTACTGGATCATGATCATGATATTACAGTTTACTATTAAATCTGATTTCTATTGGATACTCTATGGGTATGATTCTAGAGTATGGAGGTTCAACTCTGATCACGCTGCTAAATCCTTACGGAGCTAAGGAGACCATTGAGAAGGCCCATAGGCCCCAAGGTATTCCCTTAGGGTGGCTCCTTTGTTGTTTGCTTAGGGTAAGTCCTTATGGATGCAGTTATGGAGAAACTGCATAAAGGTGTTTGGTTGGAGAGTATTACTATGGTTTTAAAAATATGTTTTAAATTGTTACTGTTTTAAAAAGATATGTACCTTGTCACTGGATTTGTTGGAACACACTAGACATCCTATTCTGATCTCCTGAAACTTGATTCTCTGAATGTTTCCTCTATACTGAAATCTTCATGTCTTTACTCAAAGAAATATCAGTGGAACCTCAGCTCATCCCGAAAATCTATAGACGTCTGAATCAACAAGGAAATATTATTGCTTTTTCATTTATTTGTATGTCCATCATCACTCTTGGTAGTTCTGTATTACTGAGCTTCCCAAAGCTCACTATTTTGTTCACTATTTTACTCTCTATTTCAAGTTAAAAGAATTGATATGGCGCAACTATCGGCGTCTGTAATGGGAGTTCCTTTGGCTTGGAATGAAGAGTACAGTACAAGTGTAATTAGAGTGTATGTAGGTCGTATTGGATTTTTATATTAAATATGAATGATTTTTCTGAACTTGTATTTTAATTATAAATTGTTTTATGACTTCACGCACTTTAACATAAATTTTAAATTTTTCCTGATTTTTACTATGGGTCGCTCCTGTGACCCTAATGTAACACCTCGGATCGATTCGAATCACCTACATCGGTCTGAAGGTGTTACAGATAATGAGCCACGATTGGGAGAAAGCGAAAGAAGCAAAGAACACAGTGGAGGAGAAACAGAGGGTGCTGTTGAGGGAAAAAGAGTCCAAAGGAGAAACTTGGGTTCCCCAAAATTTCACTGTGAGTCACACCAAAGATGGTGGATGGGACTGTTGTCCAACTCAACAATGGGTACCACCAGCTCCGATTGTTGTTCCTCTTTCGTAAGGTAAATCAAGTTCAACAATCAGTTAGCACCTTATACTTTTATGAATCCCCTCTTTGGGGCTCTTGCAGTGTTAAAAACAATGTTTTCAAAATCGGATCGGACATTGAACCGGTAAAGGTATTGATTCACTGGTTCAATCGGGTTCAACCGTGGTTGAACCGGATTTTATATAAAATAATTTTTTTTTTAATTTTACATAATATTCAAAACAATATTAATATATATGTAATATTTTTTTAAGTTTACAATATTAAAAGATATAAAAATATCACAAGTCATAACATGTATAAATGAAAAACCATAAAATCAAGTGAAACAAAATGATTCAAATCAACTACACATAATTTTAAGGTAAAACATATTAAATATTAAATCCCACATGGCTAAGAAACATAGAAGAGCATCCCAACTTACTTCTATAAATAATAAAGGTAATTTGACATTCAAAATCATTGAGCCTTTTGGTGAGCACAAAGCGAACTATTCTTTCGCTTCAATTGAGCTCAAATTTTAGGCTTCAATTGTGCTCAAATTTTAGGCTTCAATTGAACTTCTAATTTTTTTTTTGAATTCGAGCCTTTTCGATTTCAAGTTTTAATATTATATTTCGAGTGGATAATTTTTAGCTCGTGAGTTTTTGAGTCGAGTTGAGCTTACTTTTAAAGTTTTCGAGTTCGAGTCGAGCTCAGCAATACTCGAATTTGACTCGGCTCGTTGAACAAACGACGTTGTTTGGTTTAATTTTTTTTTAAGAAAAAAAGTGAACCGACGGTTCAAACCGGTTTTGCCGATTTTCAGCCGGTTCACCCCGGTTTTCAGCCGGTTCTTCTGGTTCTTTACCGGTTCTGTGCTAATCCGGTTTTGGAAGTTAACCGGACCGGACAGACCACCGGTTCACGGTTCAACCGGTCGAATCGGCCGATCCGGTCCAGTTTTAATAACATTGGTTAAAAATAATAATAAACAGCTGAAATCAAACCTACTTGTGAACAGCTAAACGCTTACATATCCAATGTTGGTGCATGTGTAAATTAATTCCCGCCAAATTAAATCTTTACTCTTTCTACCTCTCTTTAAATATATATGTTTGATTATTCGTTATAACCCAAATAGATATATTCGAATCCTTCAAATTTATTACTTAAAATTATTATTTAATTTATTTTAAACTTCATAAAATGGTTTTAAATAAAAAAAATAATTGTCCCTTTTTTCCCATATGTATGGGATAAGGGGAGGTAAGATAGTAGGTTGCCCCTAACACCAGGTTGAGAGCAGCTTCCGTAGGAGACCTCCGAATTATGAAATACCCTCTGTGGGACTCGATCCCACGACCTCAAGTTTAAGAACCTTATTCTCTACCAACTGAGCTGGATTGTCATTTCAAAATGGTTTTAAATAAACATTTAAATTAATACGTGAATGAATCACTAAAAACATAATTAAAAGTATAATATTTAAATAATAAATAACTTTCAACTCACTATCTTTGTAAATACCAGCCACAAATAGGGGTGTTCACTGCTAGGTTAAAATCGAATTATCCGGCCGAATCGAAATTTCGATCGATTAATCAGTCGGTTAATTTTAGGTTCGGTCAGTTAACGGTTAATGATTTTTTTTAATTTTTGCTTCAGTTAATTAAGTTCGAAATCGGTTAATTAACCGAATTAACTGGAATTATTAAATATTTAATATATTATATATATTATTTAACTTTAGGCGTATTTAAACTTCGGTTTTAATAGAATTTCACAGACCGAATTAACCAAAAATATTAAATATATAATATATATTATCTATATATTATTTATAAATTTCGGTTAATTCGATTAACCGAACAATTAACCGAACTTAATTTGGTTCAGTTAATTTTTAAAAAAAAATCAATTCGGTTAACAGTTAAAGTAAAAATAATTCGGTTAATAATATTCGGGTAATTTAGTTCGATCGGTTAACTGAATTATCCGTTTGAACACCCTTAACCACATATGCCATTAATTTCACTGTTCTCGTAAATATAATGTAAGATAACTTGAACATTTTTAAAAGACAACAAATATGGATCCTGGTTTTATCAAAACGACCGAATAGATGATATAATCTACGACTACGCAGGATATAATGTTAGAGGATAAATTTATAGAAATTTAGCGGACGAAAACAGATCATCAGTAGAAAAAAAAAATGAATTATATAAGAGTTTGAAAATTTTAAAGGATGCGACTACCATCAGCCCGCTCAATCCATCCTTAGTTGTAGGTTACAACCAAGTTTATAGCATGAGAATTCCAACTACAACCCAAACATGATGCGAAAGCTCATTAGTCATTCCCGTGTTCATAAATCAAGTATCAAAACCAGAATAGATGCCACTGTCCCGGAGCAACCTCTTCTCTTCTTCGACATAATTCTTCCCCCTGCTAGCCTGACCGAGTTCTCTTTTCCGCTTCTCCTTCTGTGAAAAAGAAGCACCCTGCTTCTCTTTCCGAGTTTGTACGTTAGCCAGCTCCTCCGCATCCAATACCGCAGCTCTTGTTTTCTGTCTGTCCTCGAAAGATTCTTTAACCTCCCTGGTTTCACTGCTGTCTCTGCCAGTTGACCAAGACCAGTCTGGTTTCTCTTTTGGAGGAGGCACATTCAACACAGATAATCCTCCCTTATATCCATGTCGCTTCAGAGCTTCGAAATCCAACCCGGTTCCTTTTTGTTTCCCAGACCTTGCTGTGTACATTGCAGCTAAAGAAGGTAAACCAGGTACTCCTTTTCTTTTACCCAGAAATTCAAATAAAAATATTGTAGCAGTAAAGGAGAGAATAGTAAAGAAAATTCAGCAATCTTCAAACCATATTTCAGTTGATATAACTCAAACCTCACCAGTACAATGTTCGTGCCGGTATGTTTAAACATACTTTGATATTTTGATGATATACCAAAATTAATTAATATTTTTAAAGAAATTATAGGCTTATATTCAATTCAGACATTCGAATATAAAATCTTTTTAAGATTAAAAACATCATTTTACTACTTTATTGAAAAATTGAGTCATATTCTGAAAATAATTTTTAAAACAATTTTCCAAAGAGTTTCGGAATTTAATAGTCAAAAACTAATTTTTAACCCAACAATACCGATACTGTAAGAACAATACCGATACAGTATCAATGCTAATAGCCTAAAAATACATAGAATTGTCGATACTGCTCATGGCAGTACCGATACTCCTTGAGCTTTGCAAATTCCAGTAGGCTATTTTGGTACAGATACTATGCAAGTATCGATATCAATATCGATACTCAAAGTAAAAGTATCGATACCCCCCTTTATGTTTTTGACAAATACAAATTCCAGTGTACATTTTTTGTACCAATACTCCTTCATGAGTACCGATACTCCAATCACGAGTACAGGTACTCAAGACGTTTGGGTAACATTTATTGTGAGAAATTTCTTCTCAACGACTCTATTAACTCCCACAACAATCCAAGCAGCTAGAATTGAATGAAGAGGTATAAAAACAAGATTTCAAGTCATATTTGAAGACAAGAGATCAAAGAGAAAACCAAAAGCAATCACAAAGAGTCAGAAATTGTTTGTGTAAAATTGTTCATTTTCTTGCAAAAAAAACTTTCATCAACCTTTTACTTGCCGATTCACCCCCTGTTGATCATTCCATTGGTTCAATTGACTCAATATGGTATGTAGAAAAGAAAATGTTATGACGCTTGGGTATTGGAACACTCAGTTTCAGTGAGATTTTTTTAATTAGATTTTTTTTTTATAATTTATATTTTTATGAAGCACGAGAGAGAATGAAACGTAAACTTGCAGAGCCTTCAAATTTCATTATCATTCTTATAAAGATGATAAATAAGGTCATACATTGTTTCGTCCCTGGTTACACAAAAGGCAGTATCTCACACCTACCAAGAAAAACTAGGATTATGCTATTAACAATAACCATAGTTTCAATATTACCAAGGTATATGGATTCAGTCATATATATCCATACACACACACGTATATGAAGTAATAGTGTTACTTTTTTAGTATCATTGGATGAATGAAAATGAATCATAAATGTACATGGATTTAATACTAGGATTCTGCCATTAACAATAACCATAGTTTGAATACTAGCAAGGTACATGGATTAAGTCATATATATATCCACACACACACATATAAGAGGTCATAAAGCTACATTTTTAGTATCATTGGATGAATGAAAATGGATCATAAATGTACATGGATTTAATACTAGGATTCTGCTATTAACAAAAATCATAGTTTCAATACTAGTAAAGTACATGGATTCAGTTATTATATATATCTCTATATATAGATATAGAGATATATATAATAACATTACTTATTTAGTATCATTGGATGAATGAAGATTGATGGCCGAGAACCACAATCATAAATATACATGGATTCATACTAGGATTCCGCTATTAACAATAACGCAGTTTCAATACTAGCAAGGTACATAGATTCAGTCATATATATGAGGTAATAAGGCAACTTATATAGGATTATTGGATGAATGTAAATGGAGACCGACATTCATAATAGTAAATGTATGAATGTAAAACTCAGCTATGATCGTAATTTAACGTACAAAAGAATCAAAATCAAGGAAGATATCCATTCCATTCAAAGCAGTAAAATGATTTTAAGAATCAAAAGGAAGATATTCATTCCATTCAAGGAAAAGTATAAAACATGAAAGCTGAAAAAGAATGTAATACCTTGGGTTAATTTCTTAAGCTTGGCGTTGGGTGGTCCATCTTCAGCTTCAGAGTCCGAATCTGAAGATGAAGATTCATCGGAGGAGGATGAATCGTTTGTCTCATTAGCATCCCATGGCACTGCCCTCTTCATCGCATCAAATCTTACGCTAAAAAGGCCAAAAGAGAAATTTGTTAAATTGGAACGTAATTGCCGAAATAAAAAAATAAATCAAAATTATCCGTAAAGATCATTAAAGGAAAAGGAGGAGGGGGTTGAGAATTAGCAGAACCTGAAAACTTATGACCGGAGCTCGACGGTTTAGGGTTTTGAAAGGAAGAAGATAATTGAAATTACAGAAATCGATTTCCGCTGGAGAGGAAAGATAAACTGCACATATAGGGTCAATTTGGTAAATCTTTGTTTTAATGGTAAAATCATTGTTAAACAGGAAAAAAATGAAAAAAAATTAAGGAAAAAACAATGATTTCAAACTAACAGTAAAATTTATAATTTCTAACTTTCCATTTTTAATTCTATGTTTGAAAATAAATTATAAAATTTATGATTTATATATTAAAATATTAATAATGAGTTATCAAAAATATGTGTTTATTATAATTATATTTTTAGTTATTTTTTATATTTTTTTACGTTTTCAATTGACATAATTCATATATAATAATATTTTTTAAAATTGATTATAGTTTAAATTTATATGATTCATATATAAGTGTAAATATAATTTAAATGCTATATTTTTATTTTACAACATAATGTTTATAATTGACATTTTATATTCTCAAATCTATTTGTTAACAATAATCTCAAACAATTAAATTTTAAATTGTATTTTTGTATAAAATCTTTAAAAGTTCGTTCTACAACACTTTTAAAAATCACTTTTCAAAAGCTATATCAAATTGACCCTTAGTACTCCAACGATAGCTTTTATTCCATTTTGGTCACCTAACTATTTATTTTTTAAAATCATACATAAAATTTAGTTTTAATTTCATTTTGGCCACCCATCATTAAAAAATTAACGATGATATTAATGTGTCATCATAAGATAATGTCAGGTCGTCATTGAAAAAATAAAAAATATCTCATCAATAATTCTATTAATTTTTTAATGATAATTGACCAAAATGAAATTAAAACATAACATAAAGTATTATTTTGGAAAAAAAATAGTTGGATGACCAAAACGGAATAAAAGTGATAGTTGGAATATTAAACGAGTAGTTTACCCTTTAAAATTTTATTTCATATTATATTAATTACCGGTTGTTAATTCGATTAGTATCTTGAAGAGAGCATTAATTTAATGAGTTTATGTCATTATTAGAGATGGGCATGGGTCAAGTTTGGGTCGAGTTTCAATCAACCGGACTCGAAAATTTTACATCATTTACCAAACCCGAAAAATATATACCCTTCATCCGACTCGAACTTAACTCGATTTTTTTAGATAAAATCTGAACTCGATCCGACTCGACTCGAAATAATAAAAAAATATTATTTTTATTCAATAAAACAATGATTTAATTGAAAAAAACAATATAGATGTAACACCCCAATTTAAGGGCTAAATTTTAAGAAATTATAAAGTATTGGATTTAATTGGTATTTTGACAGAAACGGTGGATTAAATTGTAAAATTTTAAAGTTGGCAGACCGTTTTATGAAGTGCAGGAAATTCAGTGGCTAAACTCTTGGTTTAACCATTTTTAATTATGAGATGATATAAACCCCCAATTTCTCGTATGTTTCTTGAAATTTTTTCAGTTTTCCCTCTCCCGTCAACCCCTCTTTCAACTCCGATCTACTCGCCGTCCGACCTCCGATCAACGAGTCGAAACTACCATCGTGTTCGTTGTCGAGCGAGGAACAAAACCCCTCAAACCTTTCGTCGTGAATCGTCGCCATTCGTCGTTAATTTCAGTCAGAAGTATCGTCGGTAATAACTCGATTTCAATTGGTTTTTCGTCGATTCACGACGATCCGATGATCCGTTTACGACACCTCCCGCACCATCGTGTTCCTTGCATCGTTCCGAGTCTGCCGGTGTCATCCTTGGTCTTCGTCGACGGCGGCGCGTGAGGAGGTGAAGCGGTCAAAGTTTCCAATTCGTTGAAATCGAGCTCTCCGCCGTTCAAAATTGTGAACCGAGCTTTGAAAGTATCTCGAAATTGCTCAAAATAATTTTTAGGAATTTTTCCGGGAATTTAGCATTGTTCACGCACCCCACGCGCTGCCACTGCATGGGAAGGGAAAAGTGACCGGTTTGACCGGTTTTGGAACTGTTTTGACATGTTTGACCGGTTACAACCCAACCCGTTTACTCGACCCGACCCGTTGACCGTTGATCGTTGATCGGCGTTGACCACTGTTGACCAAAACTTTGACTGGCTTTGACCGGGCATTAAACGACCTTTGACTTTGACCGAATATACTTATCCTAACATTTTTCGACGTTCCAAATCCGATTTCGCTGTTCGTTTTTCAAAATTCGAACCCGAACCAGTCAAACCCGTTGACTTTGATTTTGACCAAAAATTTCAAATTTTCGAAAAGTAATATTTTATGCTTTCGACGTCCCGAATCCGAAGTTCGTTTCGCCAAATTCGAACCTGATAAGCTATTTTTCACTGATTTATCACCCGATTCGATCCGTTTATCACAATTAAGCTCCGTTTCTGATATAATTTATGTTTATATGTATCTGAGGAATTATTGGAAGTTGAATTGAAGATTAAAGGCGTTCGAATGTAATTTTTATGATCGATCAGTATTGCACGGAAATTGAGGTAATACTTTACTACCTCTTTATCCTTTATAGAACATGTTTATATTGATAAATGCATGAACAAGATAATGTTGGTCACTTTGGTGGAGTTGAATAATTTATACACTCGATATGATGTGGTAGAAGTTTTGTAACTAATTACGGATTGAATGACTAATATAAGAGATTGAGGAATTGTTAGATTAAATTACAAGTTTGTGATTTGTGATAAAGAAATCAACCCTGTATCTACAACTTATAAATTATTTCATCAAAGGTTAAATGTTAAAGGTACTTGGATGAGAAATTATGAGAATATTTCGGTAGAGTAAAATTACGAAAATACCCTTATGTTATAAAAAGACAATATTTGAATATGGAAGTTAGATAAGAGGATTTTACAGACATATTGATCTGATAAAAATATTGATGTGCATAAGAAATAATAGTTTTGTTTATAAAATTCGGATAACTGGTTTTAACGCCAAAAACGGTTTGCGCAAGATACTAAAAGTTTGTTAATGAATAATTTCAAGATCAGAGAATGTTAAGGAAATCAATTGACCATAGGATCTTTAAATTATAATTATTTTCGTTAAGAGTTAATATCGAAGTTATCTGGTTAAGAAATTACGAAAATGCTCTTGAGAGGTAAAATAGTCCGAGTTGACCCTGAATTAGAAAGTACATTGAGGATTTGTACTTGATTTGATTAAGTACGAATTTGATTGTTAAGATCCTGACTTAGTGCAGAAAAATTCTTGATATTCCGTTGGTGAAAATATGAGAAGGCACTTTACCCGAAAATATACGGGTTATGAGTAAATACCTGAAGAACAATTTATCGAGGGTGTTCTTTTGTTAGAACTATTCAAAAAGGACTGAAAAAGATGATACGGTTGAATTAAATAATAAGACCAAATGAAAGGAAAAGATTGAAATAACGTATATCTGTAAAATGACTAGAATACCCCTGTAATGGAAATGACCCAAGGATACCATCAAGCTCAGGAATGATGGATATCCTCGAGCTCTGTAATAATTGGAATAAAATTGAACACCAAAATTACCAAAATACCCTTATGGCCTATACTAAGAAAATGTCTTGAATTAATTAAGGAAACCAAATAAGCATAGGTATTGGACTACCTTTAAAAGTAATGGAACATAATTTAAGTGAGTTGATCAACCCTAAAGCTATGTCAATACCTGGATGGCAGTGATATTACTGGAATACGTGTTCGTCTTCTCAAGTTTGGCTCGATGATAAATTTTGGAATTTTCAGCTCAGCTCAACTCTAGATCACATTCAGTACAAAGAATTAAAAGTTTGTTCGACAAATCAACCACGAATATCGGACTGAACTGAACGAAAGTACAATATGTATCTGAAATTCAGGAACGCTTGAATTACTCTGGAAAATCCCGAAGTATCTGGAATGGACTTGAATGCTAAATAAATTAAGTAACCACATGGACGGAGGATTGAATAAGTGATTTGGATGAATTTGGAAATGTTAATGAACATATATGATGTAATGTTCTTATGGATTATGAATTACAAAATCAAGTACGTCAGTATTTCATGATATTGTGAAAGCGTGAACATGAAATAAAGACATTGAAAGATTTATTCAACGTTAATTTTGAAGATGATATATGAACAAGAATTTGTGGTATTAAAGAGTAAATACCCTGGAAGGAAAATGAATTGACCAGTCGACGTAGATTGTTAAGGTTCTGAATCTTTGTTGTTAAGTTGGTCGATTATCCGATCAATTGATATGGATGTAAAAGATTCTGAATACCCTTCTGATTACGTACAACTTCTGAAAACTGTCCGAATAAGATATGATCCTGATAATTCACATTCTGAATAACTGATGATTCCGACAGTTATTGAAATTTTTACAATAGTGATTCTAAATTCTGACATTCTATCGGTATACTGAAGATCCGTGTTTCTCTACTTGCTAAGATTAACCAATAACTCTGAATAATATTTGTAAACTCTGGTGTGTTCCCTAATCATATAATTATTTTATCTGATTTCCGACTTGAATTCTATTCTGATACGTGACCTAAATTATGTTCTAATTTTTTATCCGGATTCTGTTCTGATATCTGTTCTGAATTTTGTTTTGATTTCTGATATCTCTGTTTAATGACGAAAAAATATTTTAATTGGGGGGTATTGTTGAAGGAAGAATTTCCGCAGGAGGAGCTTTGTGCTCAGGGCCTTATATGATGTGTTGGGTAGGGTGTATGGTTCTGGGGAACCTACACATTATGATGTGAACGGATGGGGTATATATATATATGTTTTAAAATATCTGTATCTTTTTACTAATTTTACTGGAACACACTGGATAACCTATTCTGATCTCCTAAACTCAGTCATCCGAAATATTTCTCTGAAACGAAAGCTCATTGTTCGTTACCACCTGAAATATCGGTAGGATCTCTGCTCATCACAAAAATCTGTACATGTTCGGAAACAATAAGGAAATATATATTTATTTGTATCTGCACGTTCATCAGCATCATCTGGTAGTTCTGTATTACTGAGCTTCCCAAAGCTCACTTTATTACTC